CTTCTTACCGAGTAATCTGCTACTGCGGTATGAATCATTTCTTTTTTTTTTAGAATTGTGAATACTCACTTACGTCCTTTTAGTTCTAATTATCTGTTCCATTTTAAATCACTGATTGGAGGCCTTGTTATCAGTAAATACGTCAACCTGTTACTTGTTTTATATTGTTAACAATATACTTTAACAAATTTGTAAGCCTTGGGAGATTTAATCCTTTAATCTAACCACAGTGAAAACTTCAGCGATATTTGATTTTTTGAAAGAATTTTTACTAACTGAACCTCTTACTTTCAGCATGCGAAGAAAATTAATAAAATTTGGAATATAGCTGTTGCAAAAGCCCTGGACAATCCAATCAGTGTAACGCTGAACTTCTGACGATTTGTTTTGATTTAATGTAGTTGTTTCGGTTTGAGGATAATGCCGTTTGAGCTTTCCTGTCCTAATTGATTTGTTGTAAGGTCAAAGGCATTTTCTTCGACACCGTGAGCGCTTCGGCGGATATATGTATTAGATATAGTAGAAAACTTTATGGCATTCCTATAATATTTACAGTTCTCAGAAGTGCAGTGTTGTGCTGTCGAATTATTATTTTCTCTAGTATGCTTCGTTATGAGAAATGTTCTTCACTCTCGCAACGTATTTGAATTCGTTTCTCAGCAGGATTTGTGGGTGTGTTTATCAAAAGATGGAACAAAAGTAAACGTCGAATTGCACTTTATGTACATAGATTTGGTCAGTTTCTTGGTAGGTAAGCAGCTCCTAATATTTTTAGTATTAAAGAAATAGTTTGCCACGAGACGGTCTGGAATTTTTTTCTCCAGTGTTTTAGTCGAGGAAAGATACTAATATTGAGTAAATCCTAGAAGATGTTTCATCCACAGGCATATTAACGTCTTGCGAAAGTCGGTGTTTGGTTAAAGTTGAACTGGAAAAATATTTTCAGAGTTCGGTGCTAGCAAGAAAATTAGAGGTTTTGCGGTTCAAAAGTTTGGTTTCTAGATTGCTGCCACAAGTGTCGCACCCAAAGCCAGTCAGGGTTCTCCAAGTAATATTAGAAATTTGCAATGGAAAAACATTTCATATGCCCCACGTTCAACAAAAGTAGTTTGGAAAAAATTAAACTTAGGAGTGGGAATTTTTTAGATCAGATTTTAAATGAGACTAAGCATTATGAGTTCTCTTGTTTTGAAGCAATAAACTTTACTGTTACTAAGCTGATGTCACTAACACTTATGTTACTTTACTGGTTTCTAATGGTTTTTAATTTTGGGATGTAATTTAAACATTCGACTTTTACTTATACTGTTTATAACGGACCGAGTAGGATATGAAGTAATAATTTTTAAAAGATTTTAAAGCAGTTTTAAATCAAAAATCTTTGCAGTAAAGGAATTTGGTTTTAAAACTTGGTTTAGAACTTCTGCTATCAACAGTAGGTAACAGTAAAGAAAATAGCATGAAGAACATTCTGGTTGTTTCCGAATGGCCCAGTACGGTTGAAGGATTACTAATTTCTTCTGGCCTACAACAGACTGCCAATTTTTGGATTAATTATGATCCCGGAGAGGAAAGAGAATTTCAGTAGCTTTACGGTAGATCTGTTTCAGTTTGAAGAAAATTTAGATGCGATACTTAATACTAAAATGTGAGAACGCAATAAATTTGGGCTTTTTTTGCTAACAACGTCATGAAGCACTGGTGAAATGATAATGCACTCGGGCGGGTTCTAATTGGAATCTGAAAGGTTTCATTTTTTTGCTTTACTTACAGTTTTTAGACAACTTTATGGCCACAAAAAACTGCATCCCACTGAAGTCGACACCTAGAACTTTATGGGTTACAAATTTGAATTTAGGCTCACAGAAATGAATTGATGTTTTTATTTTTGCAAGTGACTTAGCCAAAAAGTATTGTGGTCAAGTTTAAAAAGTTTGAAGAAGTGTACACAAAAGGGTTCTACGTAACTGAAGTATCTTAATTTGTACTTCCAGCGAATCCGCATCCCCCTTTTGAATCCTTTCTCTGGCAAGAAGTGGAGATAAAGTTTTGTAGAATAGTATCCTGAATTGACTGTACTCTGCAATGACTGCCTACAATTTGATCTGAAGACCTTCTGATTTTTATACCCTGATTTTCAAAACCGTAAAATCTGCTAGAACAAAGCAGATAAATGTTTGGAAGGAAAAGACGAACACTTTTGGGATCTTCACTTAAGTTTTGATAGAAGCCAAAACTACAGTTAATAAATGTTGTTCACACTATATAGTATGACATCAGCTCTTACCAATAAATTTTAAGTTCTTCATATGAACTGCTGAACCAAGGTTGGATAGCACCACTTCTTCCGTCAATTACTACCAGATATAATTTCCACCGTTTTAGTGGTAACTTGTGAATTAAGACAACAATTTTTTCATTTCTACATTTTGAAAGCTACATTTTCGTCGGAAAAACAGGCGCTCGCTAGAAAAGAAAAGCAGTGTTGTCGTAAAAAGGCGTTATTGATTCATTACTGTTTTGTACAGAAGAAAGACAACAAATATATGATTAAACAGGCGTCTACCTCTGGGTAACAGAAGTGAAATGTTGCAGGATGAAAGATTATTACTCAAAATTCTAGAATTTGGAACGTTGTCATGGGACATGATGAACTTTGAAATAATTGAGTTTTTCTTGCTTGTTTTGTAAAATAATGGTCTCTGTAGTGGTTTAAAGCGGCAAAACGATTCAGATGAAGACGTATTTTTCATATAACAATTGGAAATACATCTCAAATAATTGGTCTCTCTGCACGCAGAAACTTTACTGGGAATTGAAATTTAGCAAACTTGCTAAGAAAACTGAAAAAATTTGACAGTAGTTCACCAATAAGATTTTAGAATTTACTCCAAATTGTGGCAGTTATAAAGAAAAATAACTAATCCTAGGCCTTGATCTGTTTGAGCTTAATACATCAAAGAGTTCTTTGTTTATATGATATCAGTTAGTTTATTGTGACTTAGATATTGAGTTTATGTGCATTTCTTTTATCAAGAGCGATCTTTCCACTAGATATCACAATTTACAACAAGCAGTTTTCCTCCGCAAAAGCCAATTAGATGCTAATAACGCTTTTATTCAAGCTATCAAAACTGGAAATGATCTTTCTGAATCACCGGTGAAGATACATGAAATAAAAGTGTTTAAACACGATTTAGACAGTCGTCAGTTCTTATCTGTTTTAAATAGGTGTTTGACTGCATTTTAATGTTGAATTTTAATGTTGTTTTGTCCTCTTGTCTTGTCTTTTTTGTTCAAATTGTAAGAGATATATTTCCGCACACTTCAAAAGTATATCAATATGTAAAAATTAGCGGTTGTGGTTAGATTAAAAATATAAGTTCTATGTTTGATCACATTGGTAACCACCAGGTGTTAGGATAGTAAGAAAAGATTTTACTAATTACATATGTTAGTTTATTCTACAGTCTACTGATGTGATTTCTGATATATGGGAGATTGGAGAAATGGAATGAGGGATGGTGCACTTTTAAAGTGTTTGAGTTTGTTAAACATGTATCATATTTTAACAGGTAATTGCAACGGAACAGTTAATAAAAGTTGCTGAAGTAAATCAAAGTAGATAATTTATCTTGCTGGTTATTTTGACATTCTAAAACATCGTGGGAAATGTAAATATTTGTAACTGTAAAAAGTTGGTCAGTTGACGAACGCTCAAAATGCAATCC